ATATATATTATACATATATACATATACATATATATATATATATTCGTTTCACAGATCACCACGGTCTTGCCGAAGGGCCCATGTGTTTGACAACTCGTCATATCGGTCATGGGGGTGTGGGGTTTTGCCGAAGGAACCCCTCCGAATGGTTCATTTACGTGTGGCGTGATCAGCGCCCGCGAGCCTCGGGATGGCCCCTACGCCAGACTTTTGCTAAGCTGGAATTTCAGGGGGTTCCTGATGGACGTCTACTACTCATTTTGTGGACATCTGAAATGCACGGGAATTCACGAGCGTCCGACGTGCTTGAGGGTGTTTCGGAATGCAGGTAGAGATGTTGCTGTGAAACGAAATGGTGCCCCCAAATTGACGAGATGAAAACGAGATAGTTTCGTAGAAAGCCATGCAGGACGAGATGAAACGAGCTTAATCATAGCTATGAGAGTGACGGCTGTGACAGACCAAGCTTTGAATTTCCTGGCAGTGGCCTTGACAAACTCGCTGTGACAGAGCAGACCCTGAGCTGTGCGCAGGCTCCCGCCATCGGCACGAAAGCAGTGACCCAGATAGCTGTGAGAGAGCAGATTTCACGATGCACAAGATAACGAGGCAACTGAAGTGCTTTGGCAAGTCGTTCCCTGCGAGGTCTCAAGGCATTCTCGTGACGGCGCGCACGCCAGAAATTCACCAGCACAAAATGGGAGAAACGGACGAACAATTAACCAACCAGCCAACCAGCCAAGCAACCAAACCAAGCAACCAAGCAACGATCAACCAAGCAAGCAAGCATCCAGGCATCCAAGCATCCAAGCAACCAAGCAACGAAGCAACCAACAAACCAACAAACCCACCAACCAGCGTGCCAGCCACGCCCACTAACTAATCGGGCAGCACCCAGGAGGAGGATGGCGACTTCAGGGCGCAAGGGACCCACTTGGGGCAGCCTGGCACCGCCGAGGCGGGTTCGGGGGGTTGATTCAGCCATTGGGAGGGCTACTTTGAAACCGGTCACAAATGGGTGTGAATTTTAATAAGGGACCGGTGGGGATTTATGTCCACCAACCACTTGGAGGTGGCTCCTTATAAAAAATCATGCATGATCATTCGAGATAAATTCAACAAGAATGTGTGTAATTGTTCAGCATCTGATGTTTTCCGGCCCCCAACGATCATAGAAGCTGACATGAGGGATTTAGAAGATTACTTTGATAGGCCAAAGTATTGTTTGTTTCGGCTTTTCGAGACAGCAGGGCTTGGATCTTCCCGAGGTTTCCTGGGGGCTGAACCTGCCCATGCATTCATTCTGTTTGAGCCCTTCAAGATGCCTGCTTTCAAGCTTGGTTTGTTCCAGCAAGCTTCCAGCAGACGGGCGCAGTTGGCGATGTTACATGAGGATTCGAGATGACCATTATGAGGGTCTTCTTTAGAAACGACAGAAATGAGAAACCACATCCTCAAATATGAGCCCCAGGCATCTGATGTTCCGCATGTCCTGCGAGAGCATTCTTGCTTTGTGTCGGTTGCAAGCTTGGCAACAACGACCGGCACGGCGGATGGTTTTTGCACACACTATTCCCTCGTCAAGGCCAGGGTCCCTCCTGGTCAGGGCCGAATTCAACCACTTTGAACCCACATTTTACCGATTGACGAGGCGATCCTGTGCGACACAACCTGACACATGTGTCAGTTCACAGGGGACCGGAATGGGTTAGATGAATGCTGGAATTCATTCAGGTCTTCTCCCCTGGCTATCATGCAGAGGAGGCAAACATGATTTTCCGATTCGGATTCTGAACAATCATATCACTTCCTATCGCCGCTGCCCTTGCGCCACTATGACACTTGTGTTGTGTCCATGACACATCGACATCCAAGTGACCACGAGATCTTCATGTTGGTTTCAGAGCGGCTGATCCAGTGGCGCTGGGCCCGATGGCTTCTATCCTTTGACGCAAGACGTAGCAGGTTCGTTTTTTGTTGGGGCCAGGGTTGGTGGGAAAGCTAGGCGTTACAATCTTGTGTTGCCCCTTTTCGGGCTGAAAATTGGTCCCCATGCTTCGGGATGGATGCCCAATGCCCATCCATTCCCTGGGCCTCGAGCAATCGAGGAGCCACCCAAGTCTCGGCGGCGAAAGCACGAGGCCCGCGCGGAAGGGTCAGTGGACATGGGGCATGCGATTTCGTGACGCAGCCGAGCATCGGGGCTCTTGACACTAGTCACGAGCAGGGTGTGGCTTTGGCCACCATAGTTGCTTGGATTCCTTGGCTCATCGAGGTCAGAAGCAGCAGATCTTGCTTACGTCTGGCTTGCACGTTTGTGGGCGCTCGCTCAACCGGCCCTTTTGCTCAAGCGAAGAATTGTGGCCTACATTGGCACTGATGAATGGCGCTCACGAGCTTTCGGCAGCGAATCTTGAACATCCCGCCAGCTGCCAAGTCGCAACCCGCTGTGAGCACTCACACTTACACATAGAAACACTCAACTCAGAGGCACGCTAGATGTGAAATAGAGCGCCGCCCATGACAAACAGGTGACATTGAGGGTGTGCAGTGTGTGAGCAGCCGTTCGGCCACTGACAGCCCACCCTAGCCAATTCTGGCCCCACACCTCCAACAAGCAGCACCTGTCCAGCATGACTTGATTTGGGGGCTTCCGTCTTATCCGCGCGCGCCAGATGTTGCGACAGCCCACTGTGTGGTCATGGGGGCCAGTTCAAGCTGTACCCGTGCCACTGCATGCGCCGAACGCAGGTGCGGCCATGCGGTTATCGGATGACTTGACGGAGCCAGCATTGGAAGAAAGCTGCGGTCGCTGTAAACTCATGCATCAAGTACAGCGGACAGACATGTCTTGAAAGCCAGGGTTGGTTTTAGCGGTTTGTCGAGCATTTGTAGACGATGGCTTGGCCATTTCACGTGTGTGTGTGTGTGTGTGTTTTTCTTCAATCCTTGTTGACTCTGAACCTTGTGCCACTCAACCAGAACCGAGAAGAAGTTTACATATAGCTCATGATGTCAAATCGATTCAAGCGATGACCTCAGATATAGAGTTGTCTCCATGACCCGGAGCCGTCATGTGCCCGTTGAGCATGATGCTGTAGCACTGGCCAATACGTGTTGCAATTCAAGTTTGCAAGTAAACAGGGTTTCAAATTCTGAGTTGTCAATCGTTAATCATCACAATGTAAGCATTACCAAGACTGAGATAAATGTGGATCATCAGCGTTTGTGCAATAGATTCCCTTTATGGGCATTTTGTCAGGTCTCAGCTGCTTCTCCTTTCGTGACGCGGGGAGATCGTTGCGCAGGGCCATGCAGCATGTCAACTTTAGCTACTTAGGGCCCATCCTCCAAAAAGCCTACTGAGGGGAATTGTTGCGAGTGATCTTTTAACAATGTTGGACCTCCGAACGTAGCATCAACTCACATCCAGCCATGAAGCAAGGCCACAACTCATTGAATGTGTGAATCGTCTCAAACTCCAAAAGAGTTTTGGCCTTCCGCTCCGATCACAGGCCCCACTAGTGCCGGGCGCCCTGCACTGACCAGCCTCGATGTGAGGTCTGATGCGCCACAGCACCTGCCAGCTGAGCTGTAAGCCCTGGCATGGCTTTGAGAAGCTCGCGGTCCCGCAGGTGGGACCTGTCCTTGGTGTCGGTGGTTTTTGGGAGGGCCGGCTCAGTGGCGTTGGGGCAAGCCTTTTTTTTTTGTTTTAATGGAGGGGGGGGGGGGCTCCGGAGGTGAACGACCCCTTCCAAGGAGGACAGGTTCACCTTTTTGGGGATTTACACTCATTTGCATAAGATTGCGGACAGCAGCTGCGAAGCGGAAGCGGCACGCAAGCCTTGCTAATGGTGATATTATGTGGCTGTCGACCATGGTGAAACATTTGCTTGAAATAGCTTGAGAGTTTGTGGTGTTTCCAGGGACGTGGGGCATTTCGACCATGCAGGTGACAATCACCTTCCAAAAAGAACATTCGACCAGCAGGATACAAGCTTCGGACATTGTTCAAATAATTCAAACGCCCCCCCAAACTAATGTCTTACTGGGTTCATGTGGCCACAACAGGCCCAGAGGCCCAAAACAGGAAGAGACGATCAACACGTCTTTGGCCGACGCCATACCGCCGCCCCCCTTAACGACGCCCCTGTGATCGAGGTGCCCCGGCCGGATCCTCGTGCAGTGGTGGCCCTTGCTGCTCTGCGGCGACTTCAGATGGAGCTCCCGCGTCAGGCGTGGGCCTCCGAGCCTGTCGCGGGTTCAAACTGGATTCGCCCCAGATTCGTTCATTGAAGCAATTCATATCAACACATATTAGGCATGGACACCGGCATGTGCTTGTGTCGCAATGTTCGCCATGTCCAAGGAAGTATTGTGAACCTAAAGTTTGACCAAGTGGATTCATGGAATCGGAGGTTTGCCGTGACACCCGGTTGTATTTGTTTAGTGGAAATACTTGTTGGGCTAGAATTGTCCGAGGGAGACCCGTTTGGTAGACGCCCGACTAGGAATGCCTTTTCAATAATTATAATTACATGCATGGTTGCTTGAGCGAGCCAAATTCATCTATTATCTAATTGTTGTAGCTTTACAGATGGGGCTGAATTCGCCTGTGCAACGATGGATAAAGCCTGTTGATTTGTGTGGAAAGCTGGGATGCTCGCAACATCTGAATCGGTTAGGCTGTGTCCATCGATCCACAACACCTACTGTACAGCTCCCCAGCTCCGAAACCCTGGCCAGCAAGCACTTCATCCCTGAAGTCACTGTCCTGCTGATTTGGGAAGTGTTCATTGCACAAAGCTGAGGCTTTCCGTCTTTCTTGCTCATGGCAAATGCACCCAAGAGGCAAATGCACCCAAGACTCTTGGTTCGTAGCGCACCCCCCATCCCCCATCCAAATGGCCCAAAGGCGGGCTGTCAGAAAGCTGCCACAGGCGAAGGGTCAGAAGTGGCACGGGGTGAACTACGGGAACCGCTTCATCCCAGAGGACTGGATGCGGCAACCTGGCGGCGGTTTGCTTCACGTTGCTCTTTACATGTCGTTGGTGTGTGCTTTCCTTTTTGTCCCTCTCTTTCCAATCATGGAAGTGGAACAGGCCTTTCTTCAAGAGTTGGTCGTGCAAAGCCCTCTTGTCAGCTTCCATGATTGTTGAAAAGAGGAGAAACGGGTGGCCTTTCCGGAGATCGGGGGAATCTACTTGCACAAATCAGGATCACAATCTACCTGTCATCAATTTGTCTCCCGGGGCTCTGGCAAGGCGGGTGGCCAGGATTTCCAGAGATAGGGAGTCTGAAACTTTGATCATCAATGCAACCGTGGCGGGGATAGTGCGTCCAGATCGGAGAGGCATGCTACGTGTATGCTGCGGATGTGGTAAAAGGAAAAATAACAATTTGGGGGTCCCCCAGTTTAACACGATACCCATTCGCCAACCTGCTGGAACAGTTCCAAGTTCCAGCGCCCTGCGCTGCTGGATGTGAGGAGATGTCAATCAAGGAAAGCTTGGCATTTCGCGTATTCGGGCGCTGTAGGTGCAAGCTAGCCCCGTCCAGTTCTGAACGGGCGGGGCTCAGCGCAACGCCTTCTTAGCATCCAGCGCTCAAAGAATCCGCCTGCGTAGAAACGGCAAAGTTGCCAACGATGCGCTTGGCTTTGGCCAGCTGCAATCGATTCAAACTGGTGGCGTGATGAGGTCAGAGCATGTCAGAGCATCGTCCTCCTTCTGGGAAGCTGCGCCAAATGGCAATCATTTCGTTGAGCAGGCGGGCTTGCTGGAGTCAGGCAAACCTAAAGGCGAGCCTAACATCCCCGAAGTTGCTTGCGCCGCAGATCGACCGTTTTGAAACGGGCCGAGGACAACGCAACACTTCCCCCCGGACCCCGGCGACGCAAGGAGTGCCGCAGTATTAAAGCTTGGCTTGCGCCCGAAGGACGATTTCGCCCGTATCAACATCAGATTCCATGACAGCGTTTGCCTGACGCAGAACCTGGAGTTCCACCGGAAGTTGTGATAAGTAGTTGCTGCTAGGACTTTGAGACTTCAACCCCTGCTATACTCGACAAGGCAACAGCCATGCGCCAAAGCAGAGGCATTGTTGGGAGGGGCAGCCCAGAAAAAGCAGCTGAGTGATGGCAAGTGCTGCTTAGATTTGATCAACCACATTCCTGCACTTTTCATGTGTTGTTCACGCTCCACGTGGCGCGAGCGTGCTGAGTTTGGCAGTAAGGCATGTTCAGCGAGTGTGCGGTTTCCTGACACGCTTCTTGCTTCCCGGAAGCAAGAGTTGACAGCAACATATTCCCCATGTTCGAAACCAGCGCAGATCCAACATGACTTAGTGGCGCAGAAATATTGTTCGGCCCCCAGGCGAATATATTTGTCGGGGGGGTCGGTGTTTGTTATTAGCAATATATGCGATGTCACACTCAATTTGAGTTCATGGCCTCTGTGGCCTCGGTATCAGAATGCATCCAGAAGCATGCATCCCTTCCGTCCGGCCCTATAATTTTGTATAACCCTGCCTCCTGGCTAAATAAAGCCAGGTGGTATCCCCAAAAGCCTCCCGGCAGCTTCCTGGAACCCTCAAGACGCCTCGCCCAGAGCTCCAAAGTACCCCAGAGCTTATGGGCGGAGACCCCTTCAACTTTCAGCTGTTGACTAGCATTGCCCGTTCCGATCTGGCCATGGGGCATAACCTATGGCTCCATTTTGGGGTGGACGAACATCCATTTGCCACCTATTTTGAGAAATCATCAGGGGTAATTACCATTAGTTTTGACAACCACTGCCATATTCACAACAAGCTTCAGGGATCAGGGAATCACTCCAAGGGATCTTCAGGGATCTTCAGCTATCTGTTCGAAGGCACCCCTACAACTTCTTCCATGGTCTGCGGCGCAGCGCCCGGCGCGTGGCGCTTTGGGACCTCTCGGGCCCTGATGCCAAGCGAAGGCCCAGAGAGCAAGGTGTTGGGATGTCAGGCCAAATGTGTCCAGTGGCACCCTTTGTTTGTTTGTTTGTGTGTTTGTTTGTTTGTTTGTTCGTTCGTTCGTTTGTTTGTTTGTGCGTCGGTTTGTTCGTTGGTTTGTGAGGTTGGGTCCTTCTTGTGACAATTTGATCGCCTGAAGCAAGGCGCAGCCTCACTTGGCACCAGGCTTGGCCACGCCTTGACAAGAATCAGTTCGTTTGTGGCGAGTTCTATAAATGAAGGTTGCTTGCCTCCCAGAAATGGAGCAGTGCGCGTGAGCCTTTGCTGTCCAGGCGAAAGTGTGTTCGCTCACGTTCTCATTATTTTGTCTCCGTTGGCCTGAGACTGTCATGGAATGTGTTCGGCCGCACAGGTCTACCGGAAGTGTGGGCAGGAAGCAATCTGATGTACTAGTGGTTGCCTAAGTCGTGGCGGCGACCAAAAGTCGTGGCGGGCTGCGGGCCGCCAATGTATTGCATCTTTTTGCGCAATTAGGTTTGGTTTAAAATTATCATCATAGTGTGATTTCACTGCGTGCCCGCATGCTTTTCGAACTTTCAAGTGTCGTTTTGGGTCGAGGCCTGTTATGGCCATTTTGTTGGTGTGCCCTTGTGTGTGCGCTCAATCCTTGTCGTGTGTTTGTTTTGGGGACGTGTCCTGAGAATGCGTCCCCATGCAGTTTTGTTGCGAACCACGTGTTCCAGTGGAGGAATGTTCTGACCATGTGGTTGCTTGTGCTTCCTTGTGCTTGCTCGTGCTTGCTCGTGCTTGCTTGTGCTTGCTTGTGCTTGCTTGCGCTTGCTTTTGCTTGCTTGTGCTTGCTTTTGCTTGCTTTTGCTTGCTCTTGCTTGCTTGCTTGCTTGCTTGCTTGCTTGCTTGCTTGCTTGCTTGCTTGCTTGCTTGCTTGCTTGCTTGCTTGACTGGGAGCTAGGTTTTGAACTGAACCATCAAACGTATGGTTTTGAAGGTTTGAGACATTCCAATGTTGCACTTGTGACATGCGATGTGCCATGCGGATTTCACCACGTGCTCTGACTTTCGGCATACAGAAACTGCATTTTGAACCATCACGCATAGTTTTGAAGGTTTCAGACATTCCAATGTTGCACTTGTGACATGCGATGCGCCATGCGGATTTGCACCACGTGCTCTGACTTCCGGCATACAGAAACTGCACTTTGAACCATCACGCATGGTGTTGAAGGCTGGCGCCCGCCCGAAGTCAGAGCAGGGGACCGGAAGTTACTGCAGGCACCCCAACCGCGCATGGAGCACGCACAAAACCGAAAGCCACGGCAGGCGAAAGTCAGAGCACGTGGTGCAAATCCGCATGGCACATCGCATGTCAAAGTGCAACATTGGAATGTCTGAAACCTTCAAAACCATGCGTGTGATAGTTCAAAATGCAGTTTCTGCATGCCGAAAGTCAGAGCACGTGGTGCAAATCCGCGTGGCACATCGCATGTCAAAGTGCAACATTGGAATGTCTGAAGGTACCTGCCTTTGCTGCGATAGCTAAAAGAAGGCAGCAGCACCATTACCTTGACACAGGCATTTGACATCACCCGATGAGGATCTACAATAATCCGTCATAGCGCACACACACACACTTGTCACTGTGACTTGAATGAGCCTTTGCGATGCATCGCAGGATGCTTTCTTGGCTGGACGAGACCATCCAAGAGTGGCACTTTGCAGAGACTCTTGGACACAGTGGTTGGTGGGGGATTTTGCAGGTTTAGACACACTGATTTTAAAAAGGGTTGATTTCAAGCAGCACCACTCCATCGTTGAAGCAGGCAGCCCATGATGAGGGCTTGCCAACATATTCCGAAGTTTACGAAGCGCTTCGGCTCAGCTTCCGAGCAGGCTGACCGCGCCATGTCCTTCTTTGGACAGCTGAGGGAGAGGACGCAGACTGCACAAGAGCGGCAGAGGGCCGAGCAGGAGGCGCAGAGGGAGAGGGAGATTGCTGCGGTTCAGAACTTCATCAGGGACTGGGTCCAGAAGTTCCAGAAAGAGTGCGAGAGACGCGCAGACGCAGGTCATTCCAGCGCTTCCATGACCCTTTCCACCCAACACACCCTGCGGGGGATATATTACAGCATGGACCGTGATGCCTTGGCCATGGAGGTGGCGGAGAGCCTGCGGAACTTGGGTGCCCAGGTGTGGGTGGGCGGCTGGATCCAGCAGCCCGGGTTCCACTATGAGTTTGACACTCACATCTCTGTCAATTGGGGCCAAGCTTCGCCCTCGCCCCCTGCTGCCGCGGAGGCCCACGCTGCGACCTGCGGCCAGGTTGGCAGCTGCCCGATCTGCATGGAGACTCGGCCCGTGGTGGTGCTGGTGCCTTGCGGCCACACGGTTTGCAGCACGTGTCGCGGGAGCAAAGACCTGCGGCAGTGCCCGATGTGCAGAAGGCAGATCACCACAGCGACGGAGGGGCTCTTCATTCAGTTGGCCTGAGTGAGTCGCCGGCACATTGCTGTCCAATCGCGAAGCAGCCTGCTATTTGAGGACATCAGACCAAATAACCAATTTCAAAAGAGCCACAGCGCTCTGAACACACTGTTTGCACACCCCATACCTCCACCATGCTTCAGGTATTGTGTCTGAAGCATGTGTAGTGTGAGTGTCGGAAGATGAGGAGCGAAGAGCTTGGACTCACGGTGCAGGTGTTGTCGTCAAAGCTTTGGACGGTTTCTCATTTAGAGGTGCTTCTCAAACGGACGCCAGCGTTTTAGCTATGGTCCCGAAAGGTGACCTTGGCGACATCCCTTTTCTCCATTTCATCTCCATTTCATTCCAGATCCTTCCTAGCGCCCGATCGGGCCACTTCCTCGCCACTTGCGCGCAACCAGCCCATGCAATCCCAAAGCTGGGGAGCATCTTTTGGGGAATTGTCGAGAGCATGTACATGCAGCTGGCTCTTTTATGGAACTAATGCAAAGATAGCCCAAACCAAGCCCAGCGATTTCGGAGGTGTCCCCGATTGTCACACACACACACCCATTTATTTGTTTCTCAACTATTATAGGACTCCCCAACCCCCGCTCTTGGTTTTTTTCTTAGTAAAGGGAGCGGTTTGAAGCCTATGATCCCTCCTTTTCTGAGGATGCAGAGCTACGGCGTGGAGGTGCTGCGAGTGCCCTGCGGATATTGGAATTGGATGGTGCCGGAGCAAGGCCCCGAGGTGTCCGGGGTCTACGCCACCAACGCCATCCGCGCACCTTGCCAAGAGCCCGGATGGGGAAATGCTGGGGTCGTTGAGTCATTTGTTTGGACTGTTTCTGCGTGTGATCAATGTCGGAACCTGGGGTAGTTTCACTTGAACCTACCTCTTGTGGTGGGGTGACTTTGAACTCAACCTAGCACAGGAGGGAGCGGTGAGTTTGAAAATGGCAAAGCAAATGGGGCCAGTAAAGGTATTATTAACATGAATGTGAATGTCTGGGCACACGGCACCACGGCACCACCCAGATCGGAACATATGCTGTTTCTATTGTGATTTAGGGTCTAGAAAAGTTACGTACAAATTTTCTGGAAGATGCCGTGGACGCAGTACTGTTTGTGGAAACGAGCGCTGTCCAACGGGGAAGGACAATTGGCTTTGGTTTCAACTCTTTGCAATGGAACATGACCCGTCCCGCGACCGCTAGAAGGACCTTGGGCATATGTGTCATGTGGCTGTGGGTCAAAACCAATGGTACCACTTTGGGGTTTTCGGTGAATTCACCACCCATTTTAGAACCTATTTTAGTGGTTGGATTGAATCGGATGTTTACATGGGGGTCATTACGGGCTTTTGACCCACACCCATGTGGCTCGGAAGTTTCACCTCCCCACTTTGCCAGCCACACCAGGGCATACCTGGACCTTCCTGTTGTACTGAAATTTCCAAAAAACAAGTGCCCACGGAAGGTCCAGGTATGTGTCATGTGGCTCAACGGAAGTTTGAGCTCCCCATGCCACACCAACAGCGCCTCGCGTCTGCGCGCGTCTGCGCCGCGCGTGAGGAGAGGCTGCGAAACCTGCATCGCATCGCTCGGCCGGCGGAGTACCAGGAATACTTCGACCGGATCTTCCACTTCGCTGAGAAGCGCCTGGTACGGAGAAGACCGTTGGGCAAAATGGGTATGGGTCAAATTAAACCACCAGGAATTGGGTCAATTGAAATCAGGAATTGGACCGCAGGTTTTAGAGTCCTTTCCATTACCAGGGCAACCCATTTCGGGTACATATTTTTGATCCACAGCCAAATATTTCAGCAAGACCCGGATGTTTCCTTTGAGGGGAACCACAAGCAGGTTGTTTGAACAAGGCTGATTACATGTTTAGACAGTTGGTTGGCCCCACCCTCCTTGGCGTGGTCAATCTGACGTGACCGTGGTTTGGTGACGCTTGGTGACTACTAGGCAAGAACAGCCGACACTGCAAACTTACTTGACAGAATCTTTGCGCCGCATGGATTTGTTTGTTTCCCTTGGCATTTGACTGCCTCACTTCTTTCCAGGACCTCAACCATAAGGTTCCTTCCCAGTCGTTTGCATTAGTCAAGTTGTAGAAAGCCTGGACATACGGTAGTGTCCTCGCAGATTAGGTAGGGCCAATCTTGAAGGCCTTTTGCAAGGGCCTCGTCCTACTGCGTGCCGAGGTATGGCATTCAAGTACTTCTTGACTTACATGCAGTACCAGGAGCTGGCCGATATGTTCTTGCCCAGGGTTGGCCCAACTAAGTTATCGATGCGCCCAGACGAACTATGTTCCAGATTTCGACAGTTGCATTTGGATTCCTGGACCAAAGGCTTTTAGTATAGCAGATTTCCCATGCCTAAAGTCAGCATGTAATCACGTGGAGCAGAAACCACATGGCTTGCACTGCGTTGGATGTCAATTTGAACGAGCCATCCCCAAAATCGGAACAAATGTATGCGTAGTGAGCAACCCAGTATTTGTGTATGATAGGTTTGGAATAATTTCTTTGGATGGCTTGAACAGAAACATAAAGAAGCCTTGCATTTGGCCGGGCCTTTGAAGCTAGATGTTCAGCATGTGCTCCGATCGCCATCGCGCGAAATGAGCATCCTGAAACTTTGGACCAAGCGCCCTGGCCTCAACCTGTCACACTTGCATGGCTCCTTTCCAGTTTGGGCAGTTGGAATTTAGCTCGACCTTGGCTTGAGTGTATGCAACTGGTTGGGTGGCCCGCGATGCCTGATTGAGTCACTTGATGGCTTTATGTTGTTTTGGCAGTCGCAGCCAGTCCTATCAAGCCCTTGAACATTGGCAGGTGCCGCCATGTCGACTGTAGACTCAGAGGGCATTCCAGTGCTGTACGTGCGGCCTCAGACAAATCACGGAAGGACCCTGACATGGGAGTCTGTGAGTAAGCTGCGAGTGTCACACGAGTCACCTCTCAAACCTATCTATCTATATCAAGTTGAGATCTATGGGGTTGACGGGATCAACTATGCGCTGCCAAAGAATGGCGGATCTGCCCAACAGTCCACTTTGCACGCGGATGGGCGTGCCTGGGGACGTGGGGAGATGGAATTCGTGCAGAACCCTGCAATCGTGGAGCCCATATAAAGCATTTGTGGCTGGAGGTGCTCCTGGCTTAGCCCGTGAACGTCGAGAGCTTTGCGATATTTAACGGTCCTAATCATACTCACGACCACCGCTTTCGTGCAGTGGAGTATGTAGTCGAGCTGTTTGACGGCGAAGAAGTGGCGTTCCGCTATCGGATCAGCAAAGCGGACATTTCCTTATTTCACAAAGCGGTTGGATGCTGCCAGAAGTGGGTGAACGAGGACTCCAAAGTCGTCATTGCAAACCTCAGCTTTTCGCAGGATGCCAACCTGGAGGTCACAGTGGCAGCTGTGCAGCCTAGCGGTAGGGAGCTCGCCAGCTTGTCTCTGGCTCTTGCCCATCCTGAAGCCGTCCCAGAAATGTGCCGGGCCATTTCTTCGCAATCTGGTGTGGACCCGCGCTGGCTGCGCTGCTTCCTGATGGCCGCGTCTTGCGCATCAGCGAAGAGCTGCAGGCGCCATCTTTGGTCGAGCTGCTGCCGAGCCTTCGGGGCCCGATTCGGGGCCTTTCGCCCGTGGTACCTGCAGAGACGTTAACAAGTTTGATATCGCCTCCCCTTTGGTGTGAATCTGCTCGTAGCAGGGCTTGCAGACGCAAACAAGCGGAAATCATGGGGGGGGGGGGGGAGGAGAGGTTCAGCATCAAAACAGCAAGCATCAAACTTGTTATAAGTTCTAAGTTGCGACTGGGCGGTCACTAGGATCTACAGGATCTAATGATTGAATCTAGTGAATATTGTTCTTAACATGTGCATTGCCATTTTAGAGCTGATTGACCAGGTGCAATCTACAAGTGAACTGTTGCATTGAATGATCGTCGCCCGACCCCCCAACCAAGTTGCGCTGTCTTGCCCTCTCGGAGGCACTCATTCAGCCTTGAAACCTAAGGAATTTCCAGTTGGGCAGCCTTCTTGGGGTTCTATGTGAATCCTTGGGCACCTAAAGGGGCAAGCCGTGACAGGATCCCAGAATGGGGAGATCCACAGCGGTGTTTGCATCGAGTCTGGCGAAGAGAATGTGAGCTTCTTCCAGAATGAGGCCGTGAAAAGAGCGATTAACTAGCGAGCCGGGATGAGATCAGCCAGATGTTTTCTTGCGCTGTGTGGTGTCGTGCGCGGTTTGGTTGTGGTTGAGCCTTCCAAGTGCCTTGCTGTTGAATTTGTGGCCCTCACATTGTATGTTCTTCTCAGTTCGTGCGTGCACGCGTACGTACGTGCGTTCGTATGTGTGCGTGTTTGTGAGTCCTGTCTGTCCTGTTTGTCCTTGTTTGTCCTGTCCTCTAGTCTGGTCTGGTCTGTGTGTCTCTGTGTGTCAATTGCCCCCTGGTCTATGATGCCATTGACTCACACATTTCACAACATTGTCTAAGGTGCAAGGGAAACGCAACCACCAGCGCAGTTGCTGTAATCAAATGCATAATAACTGAATAAGGTACACAGGGTATCAGAACGAGCATTGTTTGTGTTTATAGCCTCACTTATGGGAGTCGATCCAGCTGCAAAACCGTGCTTTTGTCGCCACCGTAGCTTGGCAGAGAGCTGCGATTTCTCCACATACCAGTCATGCCAGTATCAAATATGTGTGTCTTTACCAGCGCAATATGTGACTATGGAGTTGGGCAATAACGAACAGACAGCGAGGCAGTTGTGGTTGTTTGGATCTAATTTAACGGCAATCGAAGCAAGACACACGTTGAACCAGAGGAAACCATACTATATTATAGGTGTATTTGAATCATGGGAATATCGGATCAAACAACGTCCATCCTCCCACTTGCGAATTGCAGCCAATTTACAGCTAGTGGTTTGGGTTGGTGGTGCGGAGGTTTGGCTGATTCGTGGCTACACGCACCTGAATATATTTGTGACCAGCTACAGGTGAGCTTTGCAGGGAAAGTCTAGGTTGCTGACGTTCAGTGCTATGCACCATGCACAACCCTTGCTTAAACGCAAACGCTGGTGGGTATGGGTGTTGCTAGTTCGCTCGGTGACTAGCTGGCTCAGCCAGAGCACTAGCTACTTCACTGGCCAGTGGAGGCCAATTTGAAGATGGCCGTGCAGGCAGTCCGCGAGATGGCGCGATACGCGCGCAGCTCCTTGCCATGAGCCATCGTGAAAAGGAAAGACGTTGCATCAATACCGTCTCAAGGCTGTTTCTGCAGTGTTGGCAACTTGGGACAGGCAGCTGATTTGTTTCGCACTCTGCCAATTCATGACCAGCGTTGTCCAGGCAAGCCACAAGGAGTGGTACCTTGTTTGTGTCAGCTTTGCTTGCTGGTCAACCATATCCAGTGGTTTCCTTTGAGGTGATCCTTAGCTAGGTGGCATGTTTCACTGGAACTCAAGGCCTCCTGGAAAGGTGGCACCCAATGGCACCGAAACAGTACTTTGTACAGAACTATGGCAGCTGCCGGAAAAGCGAAGCCAGTGAAGAAGGCTAAAGGTTCCAACAAGCTTCCACCTACTAGGTCTTAAGTGCATGAAATGTGAAACTAGCAACATGGCTATGAGGCTTCTTGGCTCTCCCGAAAGGTCCTCATGAATATTTTCCCTATCGACACTTTTGAGACCCCGTGTTGGTCTATGGCTGCACCCCCGTGGAAGATTCGAAAGCAAGGGTCTGGAATTGAGACTTGGACCCCAATCAACTGGTACCTTTCGGTGAGCTTCCAATAGACCGCATCCGTCAATTATTTGGTCAATTTATACTACAAATGACATTTGTTTTGTAAACGCAGCGCGGTCCCATTCGGTTGATTCATAGTTCCGGACATCTTCAAGAATTGCGAGTTCGGATCCTTGAAGTTGGATTCAATGGCTAGTCTCAACATACGTAGCAACTGGCAAAGGTTGTTCTCCCATGAGAGCCAACTACATAGCACCCAGTTCCGGAATCCTGTCGCTTTGCAGTTTGCTCGTAACACGTGCACCTAGCCAAAACCTTATCTAAAGGACGACCTTGTTCGGATGGGCTACAGAATAGGCAGCGGAGGGAGCCTGAAGTTCCTGAAGTTCCCTGTAGTGTCGGTTAACTTTTCCTTCATTTGTTTAACTGCTGGCCGGCAGATGGAGAACATGTACAATGTCGCTGCTGTTATCGCTGCTCTTGCTGTCGTGGTGGTTGGTGCCGTTCCTCTTGCTTTTAGGCAAGGACCGCAGCCAGGTGTTGACAAAAACTGGGCTGTAGGGCAAGGCGGTATTGGGCATGACACATGCAGCTACTTCTGACAACGACAATCTACAATCCACATTGCGTTGACCAAGATGCTTGTTGACCTGATACGGTGCGGATTAGCGCGTTCAACACGGGCAGCCCCGACGGCAGTCTCAGGTAAGAGCAACCTCTTTGGGGTGCAAGTCATCAGCGAGCCTCACCTTCACTCGGATGAGGGCCATGAATTCCTGAGGCAGCGACCTTGCTGGAATTGGGGCTGTTTTTTTTTTTCTTTTTCCTGCACCTGTTTTCAGGCAACCCCCGGTTGATGAAACCCGCATCTTGGCGAGGCCTCTGCAAAAAGGCAGAGAAAACCTCTGGCTGCAATGCCCTAGATCCGGCTTGATCACATCAACCCAGACTTTGAACATGAATGTGGACATCGAGGGGTAGAGGAGAGCATGGCTAGGTACTGCATGTGCTGCTAGGTCCAACAAGCTGGGAAGTTTCCAGCTACCACCCATTTCATTCTTGGGGCTTTTGACGAACTGGCTCGGTGCGAGAATCCTCGATGGACTGGTCAGACCCCTGGCTTGGAACAGCGACTCTGCACCGACTGTCAAGACAACCGTGATGACGGTCTCTCGTTTGGGTTCTGCACTTTGGGCAGGCCGCATTTATGGCGTTCGGGGGTTGGAAGCTAACACCGCGAACGAGTGTTGTCCCAGCAGGTTTCACACGTGACATAGCTCGCCCAGACTTGCAAGACTTGCTTCAGGCGTTTTCAGATCAAGCCAACGGTCCGAGTGAGTCACATGTCCAATTCAGACCTCCCCTGTGAGGTCTCGCGGATTGTCGCTGCTTGCCTCATTTTTTAAACCTGTTGGTTTACGAAGTTGACCCAGATGAAGCGAGTTCAATCAATCCACCGGTCTGGAGCAAACCAAGGAAAGCATGCTCCTCAGGTCCTCATTTGAACCGCGGCAAAGCTTGGGGTCCCTATGACAATTCGCCAAGCTCGCCCAAAAGTGATACACCATGTTGGCTACAAGGGTTCCGAGGCAAGAATCGGCCCACGTCAGGCATCCCATCCGAGAATTCCAATGGCTTCCCCCGGCTTCGATGGCTCCGAACCCAGGTACTACCACGAGGCCATTCTCGCAGCCCGCGAGTTCTTAGATGCCTCAGTGCCCATCATGCTCTTCGAGTGGACCTACGACACTGGGGCAGAATGGCGCGTGGTTCTTGAGGGTACCCTTTTATGGCCCCAATGGCTTCAGCGGGAATCAACGGGAAAACACCAGTTGTTGAACGCCCCTATTTCAGAACACAATACCCATATGTGTGGGTTTTCTTTGTTTGTAAAACGCGCCCCCATGAAAACCAACAACGCTCCATTTTCTTGAGTTTCATGGTTTCGGGGGGTTCGATCTGGTTTGTAAACTAGCGGCCCCAGAAACCAGTTACAGGAAATCCTGTGATGCCTTGTTGCTGAGATTCCTTGCATGCTTCGAGATTCCAACTGATTTTGCGGTGGCTTCCAGGTTGGTTTTTTGCCGGGTTTCAGTTTCCGCTCGATCTTAGGAGATGCACCGCTGGGACGGCCGGTCCTTTCCGGAGCAGACCTACGGCCGGGTCTTCTGGGATACCCATTTGTACCACTTCCCGGACAAAGGCAAGACTTGGACCTCGCAGAACAACGGCTTAGTGCCTCAGCTTCACAGTCCCGGGTGTTTAGAACCCAACGAATCGATGGGTTTGTGCCCTCAGGCCCCTTTTGAACTGCTCTTTGCTTCGGAGGGTTGCAAATCCTTTGCCCAACCTGCGCGCGGGAACGGGGGAGGGTGTTCCCTCCAAAAGTGGTCTGAACCCCCACTGAAAGGGGACACCCCCCTATCAATCAACCAGGGGTTTATTGATCCGGGGTTAACAATATGGTGAGCTCGGTCGGTTTGGTCGGTCGGGTTGGTGGGTCCAAGGGACTGCCCGAGAGTGAGGTGATGAACAAGGTAGGTCCAAGTTTCAGGTTGTGCAAGCAGGGAACCTAAAGGAAACTCACCTGGAAGAAAAGGTGATGATAACTTATAACTGCCAACAAGCGAAATATAGGCAGACATGCGGGGACTGAACAAGTGGAACAAGCTCTGTCCACAAGGGTAGGACAGGATGGGTGCTGAATAGGAACTGGGGAGCAAATTAATTTTGTCTGCAAATGGAGGAGGGGCTTTGATTTTGATTTCCCTTTATCTAAAACAGGCTGCAAAACTTTGCCAACAAAAATACACACCTTCATACCTGTACTGGGCGCCAGTCGCAACCATTCATCCAAAAGGTAGCAACCTTTGTTTCGGAACCCACCCCTCTACTGGGACGGGTTTATTCCTGGGTCATGAAAACGAGGAGCAGGCGAAGGAGTCCTACGCCTGGGACCTGCAGCAGCTGCGGCACTTCGCGCGCCAAGAGACGGTGCTCGTGGGGGAGTTCTCCATGGCTGGGCCCTGCCTCAACCAGCGCCTCGGCCCGCGCAGAGAGAAAACGGAAGAAGCACATGCGAGAGAGCCACGCGGGCTCTTTTTTTTTGTGGAAGGAAGGTGCCCTTCAAAACGTCGGAAGGGGTCTCCTCCACAATGCGAAAGTTGGATTTTTAGGCTTGACGAAATGTGAAGTAGAAATCTGAACATGGTATGATTCTGCGTGCGGCAGATGTGGGCCAAGTATTATTCACTTTGGCTTGACGGAAGCCAAAAGGCAAACCACCATTTTTGGGTGCCCTAATTGAACCAATTTAAAATGGATATGCATGGGTGGAATCTGGGTTTCGGATTTCAGCCCGACCCTCGAGCCTTAAAAAAGAAAAAAACATAAGGCGGGTTGTCAAACAATTTTTTTTTTTTGTATTTTTCTTTTTTTTTTTAAATAAACATGCTAGGAATGGTTCGGCCCATGATTCAGCGTTCTCAACCACATAGTTGAGTGATGGTGTTTGCCTACGAGATGTCTCGAACAGTCTAGAACAGGAAAGTGAATCGGGCACCTGCACCTGCACACTAGCAGCCGCAATCAACATTATCAGCACGGGTTGTTTGTTGTGCAGGAAACAAAGATTTCCTTGAGGTGTACTTGTTATCGAAACAACGAAACTTCTCTTGATCACTGCAGTGCTCCGGAAACTCAAATTGGACAGCAACGTGACTGCTGTTGATTTCTGGCGACTTACTTGCTCACCCGAAGCCAACCATCTGTTTGCTTGGTTTTGTGTTTGGTTGTCTTTGACTCTGCATGTATCGACATTGTCGGCAGTGTTATACTCCTTGCGGAGATCTCTTTAGAATGAAGCCTTTGTTGTTGATCGCCTGGTTTCTGTCTTGATTTGCTGCGCTCAGACTTGTTGGTTGGGTGGTAGCTCTCGTTTAAGCTGATTTAAACTGATTTCGTGCTGACGGTCTACACAGTGTTGGCCGCCGATGTTTATCCCCAAAAAGTTTGCTTCGAAGTCCCGCCTTTTGTTTAGCTTTGCGTGGTTTCCCGTTTTCACACAGTTGTCCCAGATTGTCAGGCAAGAGACCCAGCAGTTCGCCCAGTGGTTGGATGCTTGGCTGATGCACTTTGGGATATGTCGGGGCGGAAAGCAGGAGGCAGGCAGAAGAGGCAATGTTCGCGAAGAGCAATATGTTCAGTACCACCACTTGGCTCGCAGCACGTCCGATGTTGCTGATGTTATTTCGCGAAGCGAGCAATGGCATTCATTGCTTGTTCAGGAGTCAAAAACACAGTAATTTAATCTGCATGGCTGAAGAAGTCAAGCATGCAGCGTTCAGAGGTCACAGGAATGCTCGGTTTCTGGCCCGTCCTGTGCTTCATGTCAAGCCTGTCGTATCAGTAAGAATAGCCTCGCGCAGTGCCGAACCGTAGCTATGCAGAACTGTTTACCAGCCTCTATGCCGCGTTGCAGGCAAATCTGTTCGGAAGTACGATTGCCATGCCAACCAGATCCTTTCTACTAGGTTTACAAGCGTATGCAGTCTTGCATTACTTTTGCACACTGGCATGACTGGTTGACATATAAGTTGATACATGCTTGACCTATGGGGCCGGGCCACATATTTTACACATCCCTGAGCTGGACTTTTGTCGAGATTTGGGTGATACATCGTTATACAAAGGTGCGCTCTTTATTTACTACATGTTTACCGCATGGTCGTCCCAAACCGTATGTCACACGTGAAAAGAACAAGAGGCTGAGATATGGCTTCAGGTTGAGCAGTTCGATTTCGCCTGCGCCGGTTCGCTGATGTGGTCCTTTGACAACCGTCTCATCGCTTGGAGCATGCAGCGACAGGCGCACATGCTGAGTGTAGGTGTGGGGCAGTGTTGCCTTCCGGGCAACCAGCATGGCTGCGGAAGGGGATTCTTGAGGAAGATCATCGTTTACAATGTATCCAGGCTTGCGGCTTTCATCTTGGCTAACTTCAGCTCATGATAGGTACCGAAATTGCAGGACCTGATGAATTGGATAGAATACGGATGGCTCTCCGCTCTTTGATCAAGTGTTTGAGTCTTCAGGAATCAGGATTCTTTAAGATGGCTTTGCTGAATGGCGCCACTTGTTGGGTTGATTTGGAGCTGCCTGCCTTATGGAAGGCGAAATGGGTGAGCGCTTTCTAAAAGAGGGTCTCTAGGCAATGACCATGTCCCCACTCTTCAAAGTGCTCTTGGTTTCTTTCGGGGGCCAGAACAATCAGGGTTGAGCCAACCCAGCCTAAACATGTGGAGCAATAATTGTTCAAACAACCTCCTTTGGATTTCCCTTGAACAACATGTGCCCCGTTGCAACACATTCCATTTTATCACCTTCATTTGTTTATCTATTCATGTCAATTTCAGTGCCATGTTTTTTTTGCCCGAACTCATCTACCTGGTCACGAGTCTCTCTGGTGCGCAGGTGAAGGACTGGGGCTTCAACTGGAAGCGGCTCTTCGACAACGAGGCCACCCGCTGCGGCGGCGCGGTGGGATTTCAAGCCGCCGCCTTCGGGACTTGGCTCTCGGCCACGGAGAAAGGCGGGGGCTTCGGCGAACGCAGCCGAAGCGTTCGTGAGTTCCGGCGTTCAGGGTTTCGGGAAGGCCCAAACCACTGCTCAAGGAAAGCTGGTGGCAGGTAAAATAAGCCTACGTTCATTTATAATATACATAAGAGCCAGACATGAATGGCAGACCATGTTGGGTAAGTGGAAGCTCTCTTGGAGTACTGTCTGTGTGGGAGACTGCGGGGGATGTGAAGAAACCGCGTCAGGAGCTGTTGAAGCAGACGCATTGGAGAGCAACTGGTGGGAGGACGGGGCAAGGGTGGGTTGGCATTGGCCCGAGGGATGTCAACGCTTTAATTTGAGGAAGCCGACAAGAAACCTAGCTCAGCTTCGGCAAAGTCTCCACATGGTGTTGAAGGGCGAAGTCTGAGTTCAATGGGGGTATGGTGCAATGTGTATGTACACGTACATACTCCAGACTGTAGGAGTACCCTCCCTTTCACGAGCATGGAACACGCGAGAGGGTCCCGATGAAGAAAAAGCATGGTCCAAACCAGGACCCCTCAGTCAGGTTCAGTGCCTTCGTGGATGGGAGTTCATATCCTCCTTTTGCCTATGGCTCAAGAGTGGATCCCAAAATCAAGAGTTGGCCATGTGGCTTCTCTTTAAGCTAAGGTGACAAGGGTACCCTCAAAAGATAGCCGTTTGAGGAATTGCATTGGCTAGGAGTGGGTGCCCTACAACTACCGCGTCCAGGGCAAGGCTAAGGTGGCACTGCGCTCAGCGGCCCATGGCACCTGGCTGTCTGTGACCAAGGAGGGCGCACCTGGGCAAGCGCTTGGTTCGGAGTTTGGGTGGGAGGAGGGGGAGTTGCAGACAGCTGCAATGAAGGTTGGCTTTGGTCTGAATGCTGTGCACGAGATGCGCAACGTGATGAATGACTCATACAATTGCCAGAAACTGTGTTTTGGATCTAGTACCCAGGAATATCAAGGTCAACCACCCGCTTGTGATGATTGCCTGCGTTGGTGGGCGTTTTTTTTGTCACTGCGAGCCCAGGAAGTGACCCAGTCAGACCATCGATCTGCGTGGGAGGACCGGCGCCGAAGGGCGCTGGCAGTGATTCAGCGTTCCGGTTTGCCAGCGAGAGACAGAGAGAGGGAGAGACAGAGCTCACTTCCTGAGTTCATAAACTTTAGACTTTTTGGGAAGACCATTTTAGTGGTTAATCTAAAGTTTGGACTTTTTGTTGGGCCATCCACTCAGCCAGTGAGAGAGAGAGAGAGAGAGAGAAAGAGAGAGTGCTTCGCCCACAGCTGCCAGATGCAGAGCAACCCGCGCGTTGTGTAATCTGGATGTTGGGTGGGGATTGAAGGCTACCTTGGCCTGCATTCGTTTCACAGATGCATGGCATGCATGCCTACAGTATTTGCTTGGGATGGATGCAAGCAACATTTGTAGCTCCAAGGCTATGACTTCTGCTCGTCGAACTTCAGTGCAGTGAAACAGTATTTTCCTGCATGACAGCGCCATAGCTGGGATCCATTCAATGACAAACCCACCAGGACATTCGCTCAACAAACATGAAGAAGTTTGTGCTGGGACGATGCCCCAACAATCCCTTGCGCTCAGGGGGTGTTGAAGGGCCCTTAATGAAGCTCATACAGAGGTGACCAGTTTAAGATGGTTTCCACTTCCCCGAAGAAAACGCACTACCCCCTGGGGAAATGGGGTCTCCCTTATAGAGCGTCTATGTAGCTTTTGCGTATGCAACTGAACCCCTGGGGACAGTGGTTTGGGGGTAGTGGAAGCCAAGTTGGATTGTGCCATTTTGCTGACAAGCATTCAATCAGTCGCACTCATTCCCAGCCTTGACAACTTGAGCAACATGTAGTAAAAGGCAAGCAGAATCAATGTGTGTGTGTGTGTGATTCGCAGCAGTCTGATTGTTTGTCGTATGTGGCTGTATCTCAAAAGTTGGTATACCCAAATGGCACCTTGGTAAAATGGTGCGAAAGACCTACACCTGCGTACCCCTAGGAAATTGAATTTTGAGCCACTGATGTCGCTTGAAACGGAAGAGCTCCCAACCTAAAATCTGATCCGTCCTGAACTGGCCCTCAGGAGTTCTCCGTACTGTTCCACACAGAGCAGGAGGGCCTGCGATGGTTGTGGGTGTGTGGTTCATGTTTGCCACAGGTTTTCTACATTTAAGCAGTATGTGTGTATGCTTGTTTTTTGCAGAAATGGATACTGGCAGCTGATGAATCCATAATTGACGCAGCCCATGAACACTGCTTGAATGTATTTCTGCTAGTTTATGAGATCCAGCAGGCAGACCAGCGAGGTCGTTTCCTTTGTCAACTCTACCCGGCCTAAACAGCATACTGGTGTCCCACTTGGAGAAGGGCAGCAGAGCGGCGGGCATGACCACGTGAAGAGCATGGACTTGGGCCACAAACGGTTCATAAGCATTGCATGACAAGAAGCGCCCACAAGTGAAGCCTAAGTCTGGCGTGTGTTGGGTTACCATCCACCAATCACGGAAGCTGAGGATCGGAGGGTTTTAAAAGCGAGCTTTCTTTTGGGCAAGCCCTTTTCCATGGCTTCAACTCGATGGGTGCAGGAGGGCCAGCAATGCATCTCCTTGCAGTCCTTCCATGGGTCTTGGCTTTCAGCCGCTCGGAGACAACACAAAGTCTGAGCACTTCAAGCACCGCTTGTTGCAAAGCGTCTGTGCCATGCGTCCAAAACAGTCCTTGGGCCACATAACACGATGTGACACAAGTGGCTGTGTTTCAACATGAGCCAAGTCCAACATGCGTGTCATGTTATTTCTTTTCTAGGAGCAGGTGGTTGCCAAACAAAAGCTTGTTAAGGAGCTCGCTCTATTCTTGTGCGGTTACTTTAAGCTTTGAGCTGGTGCTTACGTATCCCGCCTGGGCGTTCCCATTTCTAGATGACATATTCGTTGCTGCCCTTTCAGATAAGCACTGTTACATTGAATCGGCAGTTGGGATGTGATGCTGCTGCTGTTTCTTTGTGTTGCATGCACTGTGAGCAACAGAGGATGGAATGAATGGCTTCAGCTTGTGGACATGTCATATTATATTACTGGCATTCTTGGGATTGCCGTATAAACTGCAGTGATGCAGCAAGCATTGTCAAGGGGCGCAGAGAGCCAGCAGGCAACCATTTCAAGGACAGCAACTCTAACGTTGTGATCACAACTAGTCTGGATTCTCTCCCGTAAATTAGCCTGGATCCCCAAAGGAGATCCTGTGGAAACGATATTGTCTCGCGGTTGCATGTCAATCTGTTAATCTGGTTTCCTGAAACACCAAGGTCCGACGTTTCAGGCCCAGTGACCGTCTTCTGCTACAAGCCGCTTACTCAATCCACGATGCCGAGGCGCGGACATCATGTTGGCCACTGTGGTGCGTTTCTAATTTGAAGGTCTTGGGCTGTGCATCATGTTCCAGGCTATGGCTATGCTTTAGCACATGTGTCGTAGGCTTTTGCAGGACAACCAAACTATGCTACGAGGAAATAGCCTAAGGCTCTTAAGGCGCTGCTTGGCGCCTGGAAGGCTAATTTAGACATGTGGCCATGGGGCATAACCTATGGCTCCATTTTGGGGTGGATGAACTTGCATTTGCCACCTATTTTGATGTTCACCAGGGGTACAGGGTTTTGACTCATGGCCACATGTGTGTTCAAGTTTAAGTAGTCCTCATGCTCCTTGCCTTGGAGATCCCTGAGTTCGATTCAGTTGCAAGCCGCTTCCGGATTCGCGGTGTAAAACCAAGAGGCAGTCTGTCTGCATGGCAGCCGGTGAACCATCTGACGAGTCTCTGTTTTTCGAGGTGGCTACGGCCTGGCTGGTGTCATAGAAATGAGCTGAGCTTCCGTGTGTGGCATAATTCGATGCACTCTGTAGGTCTGCCCAACTCTTACAATCCAGGACTTCTCTTTGGCTTGCTCGGTTCCCTGTGAAGCTTTTTTCATCTGAAGGTGAATACGACTGCCAACCATGGCTTGTTCGTTTCTGGTTGTTTGTCTCCTGGACAGACGTAACATTCTTTGATTGATTTGACGTTGAGAGTATTGTGTAGCCATCCTGCTGAGGAGAAACTGCTTGCGTTGCGGTGTTGCTCATGGACTCAAACTAAGTTGCAGTGAGCTGGCGTTTTTCCTTTGGAGTATGAAGAGTCGGGCGTTAGGAATCACTGCTAGATGCAGGGCTTGTCACCTCATTGGGAGCAATGAACACCAGCCTGGTCGCATGTGTGTTGTTCACCACGCATTTTCTTGGTGTAGCGTCTATTTGGCCAGCCCTCTGCCTGACATTGAACGCCGCGTTTGGCAAAGGCCATGCGCCGTCGTTCGCCGGAATCCTCGCCTTGGCTTTTAAACGAGAATCGCCCGAGGCGGGTCCAAGGTGGGTAAGGCCCGCTGTCCAGCGCCGAAACGATGCCATCGCTGAGCCAATTGAATGAAACCCGCGGAGACAAGCTATGCCTTCTCCTTCCTTAGCGCAGCTTCAGATATGCTTGTGCGGTACCACTTTTCCCACATCAAGAAACAGCCGCGTTGTCCTGTGTGGCCCTTGCCATGTCGGTTGAAATGTAAGCCCCTTGCAAGACCTGAGCTGAACTTGGTCGTTGGCACATGAAGCTTACATACGCTCGGGCATGGATTCATTCACGTGATTCAGGCGTCTTGCCTGGACATAGGCCGCAGTTGCCTGGCCGACACGGTCCTTGCTCAGAGGCGAGGCGTGATGGGCTTCTTTCACGGATGGCGAAATCTGTTGTGGTCGGAATGGATCAGAGCATGTGGTTGCCAGATGTGGTTGGCGGGTGTGGTTGTTGTTTTTGCACCCTTCCCCTGAAAGAGCATTGCTATGTTGCTTCAAGGTGAGACCACCAAGTCCGTTATGCACAGCTTGCTGCCTGTGGCCGGACAGGTTTTCGTCTACCATCAGTAGTTTGCCGAATTCGTGAAACCTACAGCAACTGCCACTGGTGGCTGCTGTGAGCTTGAAAGACGCGAGGCAGATGTGGAAAAGTTCGGGTGTGTTTATGCAGACGCGGCGGGTTTTCAATTTGGCTGCGGTGTAGCCATTAGCTTTGCAATCATATACATCGGCGGCAAGGATGCTATTCTTTTTAGTTTATTTGGTACCAGTTCCCATGTTCACTTTGCAGCAACGGTTCAAAGTTGTTTCTCTGCGTAGGACCCCCACATGCATGACTCCAAAAGCAGCCCGGCAAGGTCAGACTTCTGAAGAGTATCGATGTTGGCTCTGTGCTTTGCGTACAGCCAGTCAATGATAGATATATGTACACCGCGATCTCATTGCTGCTGGGGCGACCAAGCAAGGTTGAAAGGGATGCTGCAGCTACCACGAGACGCCATGAATGTCCCAAAAACGTGAGGGCCCGCCACTTGCTGCGACACGTGTGACAAGGTTTTTCTTGGGTTAGAGGGCCCGCAGCAACCTGGCGTTGTTTGCCAGGTGCCACCGGAAGTTTCAGGTAAAGAGAAGCGAAAGGCCGGCAGGTTGAGTGTTTTGGTGCACGCAGAGCCTTCCTCATCGAAAGACGCCCGCTATCTGCCCGCGGGGAATTTTGCCGCTAAACGGTTGACTGAAGAAACTAGGAGATGACCATGAACTGCTACTGTAGCAAGTATATAAGTCATTCCTGTTGAACCCTGGAGCGGATCATAGATATGTGCCACCCTAAACAGCTTCTGTTACACTGTTGTTGACTGCATGTCACTGAGAAAGTCAATTGCTTTGTGGCTTGCAGTGTATCGATCCTGAGTCCTGAGTCAGCCAGACAAGAGCTTGAGCCGAGGGGCAGGAGGTGGAAGCCCTGGACAACGCATGTACCGATGCCGTGGGTTGTTGAGAGTTTGCTACCTTGCATATATCATAGGATACACGAACAACAATATATGTATATAGTACCCCCCAAACCAAAAAAGACACAAGAACACACACAAACACACACCAAGAGAATTGGACAGTATTTACAGTTCTTTGGGTGGCTTTTCAGGCACCCCACACCTGAGCATTTAGCTGTTGCCGCATTTGCACATTCGACTGAGACTGTAGTTGGCCAGAAAAGCTTTAAAGAGCTTTGAAGCGTTGTTGGATCTACGATTCCAGATTCAATATTCCCAGGACTCTTCTTGAATCTTGAATCCAGTATGGGGCCCCCCAAAACGCTTTAAAGCGCTTTTGGATCTCAAGATTCCCAGGACTCTAGTTCTTAAATCTTGTATGGGGCCCTCCAAAACGCTTTACAGCGCTTTAAAGCACTTTAGGATCTAAGATTCAAGATTCTCAGGACTCTAGATCTTGAATCTTGAATCCATGAGCTACCTGGATGAAAGCGCTTTCAATCGTTTTGGGGGACCCGTACTGGATTCAAGATTCAAGATCTAGAGTCATGGGAATCTTGATTCTTGAATGTGCTTTCAAGCGTTTGCGTTCAGTCATTCCTGTTCGTTGGTGCACCGTATTATTATCTTGGACGTATGTGCGGTGAGTACAGTTGATAGTTCAGCATATGGACACAGTTGGATAATTCATTCCTGAAAGAATGATTTAAAGAAATCCACGCCAACCCTACTTGATTATTAAAAATAACACTGTACGTAGCATTGGTCAAGGCGTATAAGTTGTGAGCAAGTGTTTCGGTATTGGCCAAGGTTTGTGAGCCGACAGACGCAGGGGATTTGGAGATGAGTTGATAGAGATGGAAGATGCGTAGCAGGTATTGGCACGGATTTGCACATCAGTTGAGATAAGAAGTCGAAGACCCGTAGGCGAAGCAGAAGAGGCATTGTTTGCCTTATTGTTGATACCCTTGCGCCGGTACTCTCACAGAGATGGTTTACATTATGTTTTTGAGGATAACATCAGTGATGAAGACTATGAACAAGCAAAGTTAATTTGGACACCTTTTAGCAGAAACAACAAAAACACATGATAATTCCATTTCTTTCTGAAGCAGATGTTTTGTTATTGACTGGATTTAAAACTTCAGAGATGCATGTGTGATATATTTTGGCTTAGACCCTGTGTGTAATGACACTTTGTCCAACTTTGCTTTTTCAACGTACCTAACTTTGCTTCTGACACTATGCTCAATCTAACTTGTGTTGACACAAACCTAGTTTATGATCAGGAGATGTATGACATGATTGAACAATGATCAAAACGAGGGATGCCACAAGCATTCTTTCAAACTGTAGAGGCAAATACTCTTGAAATGAGTAACAAAGCAAAGTCTTCATGAATCATTTGCTGCGCAAGTCTGCACATTGTAGAATGAGCCCACTTCTGGTAACATCCGTCTAACATGACCTGACTTCCCTTGGCAGCAGGCGCGGGTTTTGGAGGGGGGGCGGGGTTGCATATATATGTATATGTGACATGTGTACATGTTCAGGAGATGCATGTTTTTTACAAGATTTGATTCCAGTACCATTTCACGGGTTTTGGCAATCGCCGCCCGACTTGAAAGCTTGGCCCCGCAGGCAGAGAAGGAGCGGAAGTCAAAGCCCAGCCTCAAGCTGAAGGCGAGACTCCCAATTCACAGCCTTCTCAGAACAGAAACCGGGTGTTGAAGCACGCTCCTCTTCGTTGCTCAGAAAGCAGATGAAAGTGCACACGCCCTTTCTGAGAGACATGTGCAGAACCCCGTGGGTGTGGTGCCTTGTTCAAGCTTCAAACAGCAACCTTTGGTTGCACCACTAAGGAGAAGGAGAAAGGCAAACAGCCAAAGACCAAGCCAGAGGCGGGGGTGACCGGTGATTTGGGCGGCTCAGAAATTTGGCCCATCCACTGACGCGGAGGGATACATGTGCAGGCACAAGCGTTGGGTTGAATGAAAAAAACAAGTTTGATATGTTGCACTATGCATATGTATTCAAGTGTGTATCTGTTTATATTGATATAAGGAGCGGAGAAACGCGCATTGGCAAGGTGGGCGTCTCCCAGACGGCTGTGACAGACCCCAAGGTCCACTTTCTCCCTAGCTTCCCGAAAGGAGGCGCCCACCGCCCACCGGCGGTCCGACCCGCCCAGTGATCGCGTCAATTTTAATTGGGGCTGTATGGAACGAACGAACTTCTCGTTTAGTACTAGGCGGATCCGGTTTTCAGAACTGCTTTGATTTCTCTCAATATGAGAAAGAGTGAACAGAAACGATAACGATCATGGAATACAGCCTTGTGACTAGTTGGACTGCTGCTGGCAATCATTGGGCAACCTGTTTGCTTGCAGCCGTTGGGCTGCCCATAGCTCACCAGATGGCAAAGTGATCCTGTTAGGCAAATCACCAGTGTGGGATTCTGTGTGGTCCTCTTCGATGCTACTAAGCTGCGCACTTGTGTCCTCGCTTTTCCTGCGTCGGCACAAAATAAGATAGCAAACTTGGGCATGTTGCCATGGTGTTAGGTCTTTTGGCCCTGCCATCGCTTCACCCCTGAAGCTGGCGTTCCCCAGACCTTGCTCACTGCTTCTCTCCTCAGCTTTGTGTCGGAGGACACAAAGAAAGAGAAGAGTAAAAAGGACAAGAAGAAAAAGAAGAAGGACGGGCGTGTTTGGGGGGAAGTTTGCTGGGAGAGTGGGTAGCGCCAACGGATGGCCTTTGCAGCCTCTCCAGCCCTCGGGTAGTTTGGGCCAGTGCTTGACCCGCCGAGCTTGCTTGCGGTGTGGACTCAGCTGAGGTCAAATCCTCAGCCACGCCTATTTGTACGATTGTGTTTTTTCCAGGAGTTTAGTTTTCCAACCACTGCGCTCACACTTTGAAAAAACGGCATTTGTTGCTGCTGAACGATGCGAAATTCCTAGCTTTAGGACGTCGTCATCTTT